TTCCTGGCCGACTTGCTGGGCGTCACGGCGGCCACCGGCGATGCTCTTGGTCGGCGCCACAGGCGACGCCCAACTGCTCCACTCATCGCCGGAGGCCGACGCCGAAGTCAGCCCACGCAGGTCAGCGACGAGGGGAGGAGCCGGAGAAGGGGAGGAAGGGTGGACGACCTCGGCGTCCTCATCAGCAAGCTCACCGACCTCGGCGAGCAGAGGGAGCGTTGCCGTCGAGATATCCGTCGGCGTAGCCACTAGCGTCCGCCCCGACACCGGCCAATTTTCCGACTTCCACACCTCGAGCGACATGGTCTCGTAGAACACCACGTCCGACGTGGTGACCACCCGGTTGTCGGCGATGTCGAGGAGCTCCCAGCCCTTGCTCTCCTCCGACACGCCGAGGTGAAGGCCCCACTTGGCCTTCGGCTGCAGCTTCCCACCACGCTGCTGCTCGGGGACCAAGAACTGCGCCATGCAGCCCCACACCCGTGCCAGCGACAAGTCGGGCTTCGTCCCGGTGAGCAGCTGGTACGGCGTCGTCCCCGATTTTTTACATGCGCTAAGGAAGTTGCGAATGACGCGATATGCCCTGTGTTCGCAAGGCTGCGGCTGCCTGAGAGCATCGCTTTTCCTCCACCCTTCTCGTCCCCCCCAAGAGGCGCTATGTTGGAGAGGCAAGTGTCGGTAACGCATGGAGAGTTTGCTGGCCCTGGTTATCGCGAATTGGAGATGGCATGGTGTCACCGTAGCGTCTGACACGATTACTGACAGTTATGGCCGGCCCCAAGCCAACATCCTCCTTGTGAACGAATTGGAGGCGGTTTTTGTGGATGCGGTTGGACTGCAACATGGAAACGAAGACGTCGGGAGAGGGGGGAGAGGGGGGATGGGGGGGGGTATATTTTGCCAGCATTCTCCGCACCATCACGGAAGAATGTGGTGGCGGTGTGCATGGATGGTTGCAGCAATTGTGTACCGGCTGCCAAGCAGATCGTGACTTCTTGCCCGCATACTGAGCACGTGCCGTGGGCCACGCCCGTGCTAGACCTGTTAATAAAAGAAGAGAGGAGAGGGGAGGTAGGCGAAGGCGGCCGTGGAAAAAGCGGGGGGGGGGGGGGGGGGGGGGGGGGGGGGTGATTGACTACGTGTGCAAACCACCACTTCACCCGCGCTTTCATATGGAGCCCACTACTGACTAGGGGAAGTGGAAATATGTGTTGAATACTGCGTGGGGCAAGGGCTGACGCATCTTGTTCTAGGTGATGAATGGAAGGAGAGGGAAAGCAGGCTGCGGGAGACAAATTCAGGGGTTATGTGATGGATGAGGGGTGGTGGAAGGTGGCTGATTTATCCGTGTCTCTCGTGCAGCTGCCCTTTACGGCCATGCGGGCCGTGTACTAAACCACTAAATGGATGATGGGCAAGCTGTATGATTTCATGCTACAGCTCACCAAAGACATGAACGACAATTTGAACGCCGTCGACGGATTGTTGACACGGGCGGAGAGGGTGGAGATCACAAGGATTGTGAAGGACAAGTGGCACAACTTACTAGCCTGCCCCATACACGTGGTTGGTCAACAAAGAGGGGATATTCAGGAGTGTTGTGGGGTTTCCAAGGACTACATTAAACACCATTATGAGAACATCACCTTCAAGTGGGGCAAGAACGGTGTCCCTCGTAGAGCCTTTTTCTTGTGCCGCGGGAGGGTTGTTGGCTTACATTAACTTGGCAAGCCGATCGCCATTCCAGCATGGGGGGCAGTGAAATCTGGAGAGCTGAGAATGGTGCAGTGGTGGTCGTGGCACAGCAACGACTACCCCGAGCAGGCAACCCTTGCATGCAGGGTGCTCACTCAGCTAGTTTACGCGTCCTCCTGCGAGCGTAATTGGGGCAGTGTGGGAAGCTGTGGCCACCGCCCTTTTGTTTCATTTACTTCGATATTGGGCGATGTGTGAAGCTATGCCCACCGTCCGACGCAATTCACTTGGGTGCGCCAAGTGTGGGGACCTTGTGTACATTGCGTGCGCACAACTGGATTTTTGCACAACTGGCACAACAAGGATGGGGCAACTGTGGTTGTGATCGGGGGAACATCTCAGATGCCCCTATTCTGCAAGGGTGCAGGGTGGATAAGGAGGACGACATGCATGGGGAGGAGGGGGATGGTGAAGTCCTGGCGGACGAGTATATTTTAGTGTGAAGGGTGGTGGTGGAAAATCTACGCATTTAGCAACTTGGCGGGGTAGAGGTTAGTGGGGATGTATGTACAGAATTTGTAGGAAAATTGTATCTTTGTTTTCCACCCCACCCGACCACCCCTTTAATATGTTTTTTCCAAACTGCCTAAGAAGTTTTTTTTTTTTTTACATGCTCCAGCAAATTACCTCGTGATTCCAAAATGAACCACTAGCGAATAGCGTAGTTACGCTTGCATACAATACGAGACGCGCGTATCTGCCAACGTAGGTCAGGTCGAAACGGCCCGTTTTTTTATTACGTCCGACCCAAGCTCAACAAGATCAAGCCCGACCGATGCAAGCAGGGTTCTGACCCGACTACGGGTCGACCTGACCCGAACCCCCCTCGGCTGGGCCAGACCAAACCTTGGTTGGTTCGGACGGGGTCTATGTTGCGAAACGGTTACCTGGACTGGATAGGTGACGCTTACCTGGCTCAGGATGAGGACACTAAAATAACTGTAGAAATACATACCTAATGTGCACAATGTGCACAAGGAGTAGCTGGTTCAAAAATGCTGGAAGGTTCCACAAGGTTGAGGATAATAGCAAAACATGAGCTTCAATTTGCAGAGAATGAAGATGTGAGGATCTGGTTCAGGAAAGATTGAACTAGTAAATAATGCACCTAGGTACAAGGCGAGGCTATATATAGGCTCGACACAAAGGCAGTAACCCTGGTGTTACTAGAAGGTTCCGCGGGTCGCGAAGCGTCCCGAACGGGTCCTTCCCGAATTTGGTAGAAGGCAATTCGGTGGCAACCGAAAAGCCTAGAATTTGGTGCACTCAACCTAGTTCAGTGCCTATAACTATAATAAATATAGTAAAGCAACGAACCTAGGAAATCTAGCAAAAGCAAGCAAAACAAAATAAAGATAAGCTAGATAATGCATAATAAAGCATAATCAAGCTAGTAAATCATAGCAAAGCCGTCGTACTCTCACATGTCCCCCCCTCAAAGCTGGGTGGCGTGAGAAACACCCTGCTTGACAAGATAATCCTTGAGAGCACGGCGTGCATTGCCCATATCAGCTTCTGCAACCCAACTGTCCTCCGACGGATCATATCCCTTCCAGCGTATTAGGAACTCGAGCGTGTTGCCGCATCTGCGTTGACGAGCGAGAATTCGTTCCACCTTGTTCTTTGGTTCATCCTGTATGAGAACAGGTGGTGGTGGCGGTAGCTGGCGTCATGTGAACTGTTGGTTGGGGTCCTTGTAGGGTTTTAGCAGCTAAACATGGAAAGCGTTGTGAAGCTTCCACGTAGTAGGTAAGCGCAAGCGGAATGTAACTGGTGTCACCATCGCCTCAACGCGAAAGGGACCACAGAAGCGAGGCCGGAGCTTGGACGGAATGTGGGATAAGTCCAAGTTGCGTGTGTCAAGAAGCACCTGATCTCCGACTGCTACTGAGTGATCTCGTCGCTGTTGATCGGCATACTGCTTCTGGGAGTTCTGCATTGTGGTGAGACGTCGCTGAGTCTTCTCCCATAGCTACTGCATGGTGGTGACGAAGTCGTGTCTGGCTTGGACGTGTACTGGTGTAGTTGGCTGCTGTGGTGTAAGTGGTTCCCGTCCGTAGCACAGGAAGAAAGGAGATTTCCCTGTGGCCGCATGCGACGCGTTGTTGTAAGCGAACTCAAGCGTCGGTAACTGTAGATCCTAGTGGCTGATGTCGTCTTTGCAAGTTGTGCGCAGTAACTGTTCAACCACCTGATTGAGTCGCTCAGTCTGTCCGTCAGTCTGGGGGTGGTACGCTGAAGACATCGCAAGCTTAGTCCCCAACAATCCCATGAGTTCCCTCCAGAACTTACTAGTGAATTTTGGGTCTCTGTCTGAGATGAGTGTAGCGGGGATGCCGTGGATGGTGATGATGCGGTCGAAGAAGAGGCGAGCAGTTGCTTCAGCAGTAGCCGTGGCGTTGGTCGGGATGAAGTGTCCCATTTTAGAGAACTTATCGATCACCACAAGTAAAGCGTCATGCCCTCGTGAGGTCGAAGGAAGCCCAGTGATGAAGTCTAGGCTAACAACTTGCCATGGCTGCTCCGGTACGGGTAGAGGCTGAAGTAACCCTACTTTTTTCTGCTTGCTACTCTTCATCCGCTGGCACGTGTCACATGAGGTGACGAACTGCTGCACGTCTGCTGCCATCCGGGGCCAGTAGTAATACTTTGCTATTCCCGCTAACGTCTTGTTGCTCCCGAAATGTCCCGCGTATGCCACATCGTGGAACTCCTCCAGTAAGATCTGTCGGAGCGGGGCATAGTTCGGTACCCAAATCTTTCCCGATCCCTTTCTTACAGCTAAGCCCTTCTCCCACTATAACAGCTTCTGTTTCTCTACCGTTGCTATCTCTGCGTCCACGAAGTACCCATGTTGGAATAGACCCTTGAGTAGAGGGTTCATCCCGTCGAGCTGGATGCCTGCTACATGACCGGGGCGGCTCAACGCGTCAGCTTTGTTGTGTAGCATGGGCTTGTAGACGATGTCGTAATGGAAGTGGGTCTCCAAGAAGTCCACCCACCGCACCTGTCGTCGTAACAGGGTCAGGTTGCGACTTCAGGTATTTGAGGCTACAGTGGTCAGTTTAAACTGTGGTCTTGGCTCCCTCTAGGTAACACCTCCACGCCTTGAAGGCTGTGACTATCGCTAAGGCTTCCTTGTCATGGATGGGGTAGTTCAGTTCTGCTCCGTGTAGCTTCTTACTGAGGTAGGCGATGGGCTGCAAACCGCGTCCGTGATCCTGCATCAGTACTGCTCCGACTGCTTAGTCACTAGCGTCTGCTTCCACCACGTAGTCTCTGTCTGGATCCGGTAGGATGAGTACTGGCGCTGTAGTCAGTGCTGTCTGTAGCTGCTCCATGGCTTGCTGTTGAGGAGTATCCCATTTGTAGGGCGTATCCTTTTTCAGTAGGTTGGTCAGTGGCGCTGCTATCTTAGCGTATTGCGGCACGAACCTGTTGTAGTAGTTGGCGAAGCCTAGGAACTGCTGCAACTCCTTCACGTTCTCTGGAACTTTCCACTTCTTGACGGCTTCGATCTTCCGCAGGTCCACGTGTACGCCCTTCACACTCACCATGTGCCCGAGAAACTGCACCTTCTTCAGGGCGAAGTCGCTCTTTGTCAGCTTTACGTAAACTTGTTCTTCCGCGGGATCGCAAAGACTTTTCGCAGATGCTCCACGTGCTCCTTCATGGTTTTGGAGTAGATCAGTATGTCGTCCAGGTACACCACCACGCATTCGTCCAGCAGGGGCCGTAGGATATGATTCATCTCCGCCTGGAACGTCGCTGGTGCGTTGCAGAGCCCGAACGGCATCACCAAGTACTCGTAGGAGCCGTATCTGGTACGGAACGCCATCTTGTGGATCGAGTTGTCCGCCATCTTGATCTGCCAGTAACCCGACCGTATGTCCAGCTTCGAAAACACCGTTGCACCACGCAGTTGGTCTAGAAGATCGTCTATGCGCGGTATGGGGTATTTGTTTTTGACTGTCTGTTTGTTCAGTGCCCGGTAGTCGATGCACATCCGTAAACTACCGTCTGGCTTTGGAGTGAAGAGAACCGGTGCGCCGTAGGGAGAGGTGGATGGGCGGATCAGTTTTCTGTCGAGTAGATACTCCATCTGTTTCTTCATGTCTGTCTGTTCGGTCGGACTCAGTCGGTATGGTGCACGTGAGACGGGTTTCGCACCTGGTTCCTCCACGATTTCGTGCTCGTGGGTGCGCGCTGGAGGTACTCCTGCAGGTAGGTCGTCTGGCATGATATCCTTGTACTGCTCCAACACCTCCTTTACTGCTGCAGGTAGCTCCGAGCTCGGCTTCTCCTCCCCTGCTGCTGCCATAACCAATGCTAAGTATCCCCTGTTACTCTCGTTCACCGTCCGTTCGAACCGCGCCAGTGTCGTTTCAGGAACATCCCCTGTATCCGTCCAGCTTCGCAGCTCCACACGTTTCCCGTTGTTGTAGATACACGCCTTCCGGTTGACCCAGTCAATCTCGGGGTTGAACCGCTTCAGAAAATCACGCCCCAAGATGAAATCTAATCCCTTGATGTTCGTAATCGTCAACGTCGGCTTCCACCTTAACGCCCCTATATGCAGTTGCAGTGTTGACTCGCCGTGGATGGGAAGCTTTGTACCGTCCACCATCGTTGCTGTAAACTGGGTCTCCTTCGAGGATTCTCCAATTTTCTCCAACGTCCCGCGGTCGCACACCGAGTGGGACGCACCGCTGTCCACCAGTGCCTGGAGGCGTCGCTCGTTGCAGATCACCTCGAGTACTAGTGGCTGCTGCCGCTCCGAGTAGCTGTAGGTGGTGTTGCTTACAGGATCGTAGGGTAGATCAAATGTATCGTCCCTTGGTCCTGCGCTCGAAGCTGCTGACTCAGTTTCCAACTTAGCAGGGTTAGAAGGATTTATCCGAGGCCGATTCAGCTTCTCTGGGGCCTGGAACCTTCCCCTAAGCCTTTGCAGCTGTGTAGGCTCCTGTGGGGAACGGCTGGGAGCCTTTAAACAGGGCTGCTGGGAGAGAATATAAACTCCTTAGAACGCTCGACCCTTGTTAGCGCTCCGGAGTAGGGTCCCCATATTACCCGGTACCGGTTTAATTTTTTACTCTCCCTTAATAAAGGCTTGAAAACCACGAGAAGTAATATTCTTAGTTAAAGTATCTTTATAGGATAACTTTAACGAATTCTTACTTGTCGAGGTGTACGGCTGGAGTTTCCCGGTCGGTGCAGGGTCTTGTTTCGCGGAGTCTCCATTTGTCTCGGCGATTTCCCCTGGAGCCGGCTGGTCGTGACGTTTTAAATTCGCGCCACCATATTCTCCTTTTTTCGCCCTCTCCGAAGTTGCCACGTTGTCCGTTTTCTGCTTCGGGGGTGCCACACTGTTCTTGCCCTTCAGCTCCGCACGTACTTTCTTCATTTTCCAACACGCCAAGATACGATGTCCTGTAGCGCCGCAAAATTCGCACGTCGCATATTTTGCTAGCCTGGGTCGCATCGTCCTTGTCGTTCTCCATCGGGTCGGCAGTCGTGGGTGGTGCCAATCGCCCCATGCCACTATTTGGCTTGTTGCGTCGTGTTCCGTAGTAGCTACTGTTCAACGCGTCAAACTATCCGATCAGAGCTGCTCGAAACTGGGCCCACGTCCCTTCGCCTTGGACTATTCTGTTGCTAATCCACTCTAGAGCTGGGCCTCGTAACAGTGTTGATGCGAGCCATATGCGCAATGCGTCTTTGTTGAGGGTCGTGCATTCTTCGGCTTCGAAGAAATTTTCTAGTACAGCTACAAATTGACGGGCGTCGCTCCCTTTCGCTCTAGGATCGAACGCGTCTGGTCGCCTCGGCTTTACTGCTTCGAGATTAAATGTAGCTGCTGCCGTTGTCGCAGGTACAATTATCGGTGTCACCGTTGTCGCTTCTGCTGCTGCTGCGGCTACCGATTGGTTCGCAAGGAGTTTTTCGAGTCGTGGGAGCGCCGCAAATATCTGCTTATGCTCAGCACGTAACTCCGCGAATTTTTCTATAAAGAAATCTCTATTTTCCTCCCTATTAGCGATTTACAGAAAAAAGCGCGACGAAAATAATTGATTTATGGGTGCTGGTCGACTTACTGCGAGTCGAATCGACTGTAGAATCGACGAGCCCGTATTCTGTATGTCGTACAAATCTCCCTTAGGCGAAATTCGCGTCCGATCTCGGCCGTTGAAGAAAAAACTCGGTATGACGGTCGAAATTCCAACTTTTTTGGGCGAAATTCTCAGGGCCGTTAAGATGAACGGTTGAACGAACGGTTGAAATTCCAACCTTTGTACCAATATTCCTGAGGGGTGTTCAAAACCGAATCGAGGGGGACTTAGAAAAAATCGCGCGGAACTGGTTTTACATACCCGTATCGGCGCGTTCGTCGTCGCCCCCGCGGTTTTTAAAGGCCGGAACTAAGCGGAAGAAGAACTCGAGTGTAAACAGGCTCTGGATACTAAGTGTGAGGATCTGGTTCAGGAAAGATTGAACTATTGAATAATGCACCTGGGTACAAGGCGAGGCTATATATAGGCTCGACACAAAGGCAGTAACCCTGGTGTTACTAGAAGGTTCCGCGGGTCGCGAAGCGTCCCGAACGGGTCCTTCCCGAATTCGGTAGAAGGCAATTCGGTGGCAACCGAAAAGCCTAGAATTCGGTGCACTCAACCTAGTTCGGTGCCTATAACTATAATTAATATGGTTAAGCAACGAACCTAGGAAATCTAGCAAAAGCAAGCAAAACAAAATAAAGCTAAGCTAGATAATGCATAATAAAGCATAATCAAGCTAGTAAATCATAGCAAAGCCGTCGTACTCTCAATGAAGAGAGCTGGCTTAGGAGAGGCGACTTGGGCTGGTCCAGGTGAAAAAATTGGTGCCCAAAGGACTTGGGATGGTCAAATGAGTGCTCAAGTCGCCCACAGTCAAGATGGGGACGTGAGGGACCCTCAAAGCGGGCTTGGAAGCGGCCCTTCTAGTGGAAGCGCGATTTCACGAATTGGACACACGAACTCCAAGCTGGATCCACGTTTCTAATGTGGTGTTTCGTGGCTCAAGGCTGGAGCCGCGTCTCCAAAGTTGGGATACGTGCTGAGGTGCCCCAAAGCGTGTACCTAAATCTTGATACAATCACTCGGATAGCACCGTATACTAATGTTACCGAACCCCTAACGTCTACACTACTAAAATGTAAACGAAATAATGTTATTCATATATAAACTCACGTCATTCAGAATGACTCATTCTACCTTTAGCAAACTTAGCTATGAGTAAATACCCAACAAAATATATGCTGGGTTGGGCAGACAAAAGAGATTCTGACCAGGTAAAAATCTGTATAGGAAAGAGGGAGATGGTGTTTCAAAAGATTGCAACCACATCGAACATGGATTATCAATAACATCTCAAAGTAACTAATCCCCATGCACCTAGTTAAATATAGATCTAGGGATTTCAAATGAGAATTTGGTCACATGGGAGAGAAAGCTCGGAATGGGTTGTCAGTGACTTGGCTTGGCAAAATATCGAAATCGATCTCGTTGGTTCGTGATATTGCATGGCAACATTGCTCCCATTGGTTCGTTCAACGTTGCAACTTGCGAGCGTCTTCTCGCGTCGGGTCGACCCAAAGTAGACATGTACATCGGACCGAGTCAAGTAAAACTCGACTCGGTTTAGTATAAACTCGGCCGAGTTCGAGCTCGAGTCGGCAGTACTAAAGAGAAAAGGGCACAATTGAAGAGCAAGAAAATGAGAGAAATATGGGCAAGAGGGGAGGTAGCATACATAAGGAGAGAGCAGGGGAGGTGACGTACCTTGAGACGCCAAGCCCACCCCCATTCTCTCTCTTGTAGCAGTGATTGGCAGTGCTGCCTCCTTCCCATCCCCATGGGAACTTGCACGGCCACAGGGGAGGGGTGAGGGGAAGTGGCGGTGTTGACCCCGACACCCCTCCCCTCCACCTGCAATGGCCCACTGAAACGAAGTTAGTGACTGGTGGAGAGGCGAGGGGTAAAGGAGGAAGGTGGATGCAAGTCGGGTAAAGAAAATGAAACTCCAAAAACTCCACCCATAACGAGTCCCCCGATCGAGTCGAGTTCTGAAACTCGACTCAACGCACCTGTGTAACCCAAAGCACAAGTAGTAGGCACCACTAATTGAGTACTAGGGTATGAGCCATGTAGTTAGGTGATGTGAGAAAGATTTGACCAAACATGTGTCATAATTCACACCATAGAGCAGGTTGGATCGTGGTGAAGCTTATTCCAGCACTCTCTTGTTTGGCATGTTGTCAATTTTGTACCTTCCTTGATAAGAAAGCTCATAGTTCTTGAGTAGTAATCGTCTATGCATCTGCTTCCTGTCCTTTTAATCTCAGGGATGTCTCAGTGAACCAACTTTCAGGAAGCATTCCTGCTAGTGTCAATGCTCTCACTCAAGCCACTACCTTGTAAGTCGCACACAAGTCGGCAAAACTTCTTATATAGGCACATGAGTGCGGAGATAACTCGTACAACGGGAGCTTGACTACGGGGAAGGCACGTGTGTGAGAGGGATCTCTGCGTTCGTTCACTTAGTCGTTTCCTTGTGCGCACACTACTTGCTGGTTCATGGGGGCAATTGGCAAGAGTTCCACTAGGAAAAACATCACAACAAAGGTTCAGAATAATAACAACAACGTTAGCAACACAAACTATATCAGAGCTAGCACAGCTGCTGGTCGACCTCCAGCGCAGCACGGTCAACCGTGCTCCAGCACAACAATGCTCGCACCGCTCCAGCGCTGCAGAGATGCGGTGCGCCAACGTTGCATGTCCACGGTGTGCCAACGCTGCAGCAAAACGGCTGCACAGCGCTGCAACCGCAGGACAACGGTGCACCTGCTTCGCAGGTGTGCGCGGCTGGTTGGCGTCCAACTCCTCGTGACGTGCCCGGCTACGCCAAGCCCGGCGTCCCCAGGTCGGCGTCGTGGCGTCCAGAGCGGCGTCCACTGGCCCATGACGTCGACCAGGCGCACAGGACGGTGTCCAGCCTCCTCGGACGCCAAGGTGTCACCCAGGTCGGCGTCCAGGCGCCCGGGACGCCGAGCAGACTCCCAGCTCGGCGTCCAGCCTCCCCGGACGCCAAGGTGTCACCCAGGTCGGCATCCAGGCGCCCGGGACGCTGAGCAGACTCCAATCTCGGCGTCCAGCCTTTTAGGACGCCGTGCAGACGCCCTGGTCGGCGTCCAGGCCCCCAGGACGCCGAGCAGACGCCCTGGTCGGTGTCCACCTACTCGGCGCCCTTCAGCTACACGCCCACCAGCTCCACGCCCTTGCAGTGGCCCCCGTGCCCACTGCTGTATGTCGGCTGCATCCCCCCTGCACAGCTGACCACGAAGTCGGCTCCGCCCAAGCGAGGACGGGGCCAAACACAACTCCCGTTGACAATGAGCACCTGGTCGGGCCAGTTCAGCCTGGGTCGAATTGGACTGGGCCGGCAAAGAAGGCGGGCCAAACTATGTTCGGTCTTGATGGATAACAATGTTGCGCACTCAAGATCTAGTCAAAGATGGATAAATATGTCAACAGCTCAATGTCAAGGGCAAGGTCAAGTCAAGGACATGCAAAACTAAGCCTGAGAGCCCACCAAGTCCTCAAGCAACTCCCCCAACCCCCCCTCCTCCCACCACAGCAACAGCCTCCTCCTCATCCCCTTTGTCGTGCCCCTCTCCCTCCAGCTCCAACTCTGCTGGTGTCGTGCCTCTGCGTCTGGACCCTCTCCCCTCAAAATTTGGCGTGCTGGTCTCGAACCTGAAGTGCTCCCGACGAACACTTTGGGAACTCGAAATCCTAGGTGTTTGAGTGTTTTTGTGCTTACGACTGTTCGCCTGTGGGGGCCTGTTCGGGCGAACCTCGAACACGTTCGTTTTAGTCGCGTGGAAAATTGCAGCAGCGGTCGGAACACAAACGTGTTCGGGAGAACCTCGAACATTGTTCGGCGAACACTTTAGGAAAAAAAAAAACCTGTTCGGTTCGCCCCGAACACTTTCGAGACAAACCAAACAGGTGTTCGTTTCTTTGCTCATCCCTAATATCAGTGGTGAAGCACACCCTGAACAATGGCAAGACTACACTACATGCATGTGTTGAAAGTGTTTTGTCCTTGTAAACCCAAAAAAAAAAACAAACAAACAAACCAAAATGGTAATTGGAGATTTTGTTCCTATGCTACTTACTACCCCCCCACCCTCTCCACCCCCCCTCTCCCCTCCCCCCCCCCCTCTCTTCCCTATACAGAACAGATTTTTTCAGCCA